ATCAACACGCTGCCGTTCTCAAACCTTCCAGCTTATTCACTATCGTGCCCACAGGACTTTTCTCAGATGTCAATTTAATCATGTCATAATCCTGGGGATAGAATTTAGCTGTTACAATACCTTATCTGAGAAAGGGCTATGTTTAAATTTGCATACAAGGTCTCTACTTTCTAGCGCCACCTAGCCTCCCTCCCTCCCAAACACCGTTTTCCATCTCCCTCTGCTCATTTCCTCTCAGGACCCACCTGCCTTCCCTTCCCCACCAGCTTAATTGATTTTCAAGCACAGTGTAATAGTCACTTTTTCCAGGAAGCATTTCCTCGGACACTCCCAGCGTCTGGTTTAATTTTGCTCTCTCTACGTTCACCTCATGCTATCATCAGATTCTTAGTTGACTTACCTACTTCCTCTGGTGAACTGCAGCTTCTCTGATGACAAGGACTCTCATTACTACATCCCCAATGTCTGACATGGCACCAAGAAGATAACAGGATCCAAGTACTCGGAGGATGGATTCCAACCCTCTCATTTTACAGATGAAAACACCGAGGCCCAAAGAATGACACAAGTATAAGGTTGGAGAACAAGTTAGTGGCAAAAGCAGAGCCATAACGGGGGCCCTTGAATCTAAGCTTGTGGGACATGTTTCCCCCTCCTCATACTGCTTGCCTCGTGGCCTTCTTCTGCCTTCTCAAGCCCAGGGGTTGCATATAAAATAAATGGCCTGGGCCCACCCACGGGTGATCTGCTTCAGCTGGAGGTTGAGGCCAAGCATCTGAAGGGCTCACTGGGTAAAAACTGATGCCCACTCAGGATTGTTAATTAATCACAGCTTTGGAGTCCATCTCTAATTCTACAGAAGTAGAAATTACAATCACCAAGACAACATTTAGGAAAAGGAAAAGGCAGAGGATGTACAGAAACCCCCCAAGACTTATCTAATGTCATAATAAGTAGGAAGGATAAGCAGTAAGATAATGTGGTGGTACAAAGCGTTTGATTTAAATTGAAGGTGACATGCAAGGCAATGTGAAAAAGGCAGGTAAAGTATAAATCTGTATGGGAAAAAGTTAAATTTAACCCTGCCTACAGCTACATCAAGGAGGGAAACACTGAAACTTCTAGAAGATAATACAGAAAAATGCCTTGGTACCTTGGGGTAGGAAAAGATGCTTAAACAAGTCATAGGAAGTGCCAATCACAAAGGAAGAGTTATTCAGTTGGACCATATTAAAATTAGAAAGTTTAAAACCTTACTATGGGAGTAAAAAGGCAAGCCACTGCCTAGGAGGATATATCTGCAACGCTTGTAACTAACAATTACTGATATCTAGATATGTAAAGAATTATGACAAATCAATAAGAAATATATAAGACAGGAGGCTGGCAACTACCATGGGTCAAACCTGGCTCACTGCTATTTGTAATAATTTTCAATAAAATGTTTTTGGGACACAACCACACCCATTCATTTCCATATTGTCCACAACTACTGTTACACTACCAAAACAGCCGAGTAGTTGAAGCAGAGTCCATCTGTCCTGCAGATATTTAAGATGCCTAAGATATTTACTGTTTGTCCCTTTGTAGAAAAGGCATAGGGACCCTGGAGAAGACAATGAAACAGAGAAGCAGACCAGATACTTTCACAAGAACTCAACAGAAAAAGTCAGGCGCATGCACAGGTGCACACACACATAGACTCACAAACATACAATGGCCAATAAGCAATATTAAAGATTTCCTTTGTCATTTATTAGTGAAATGATAATAAAGCCAAAATAGCACACAGTTACTCAGTCACTCTACCGGCAAAAACGACAAAGACTAATAATACTACGTGTTGTCAAATATAGCAACATAAATAACTCTTATACACTGCTGCTGGAACTAAAAATTTGCACACTAGTTTGAGAAAAGCCTTGCCATTTTCTACCAACTTTGAACACATTCAGTATGACCCTACTATTCCACTCTTGCATAAAATTTGCTACACAAAATTGCATTCATGAGTGGATGAAGCATATAAGAATGTTCACATCAGCTTTATTTATAATATTCAAAAATTGGAAACAACTCCAGTCTGATAACAATGATAATGATGAAGTACTATATAGCAATGAAAGGGGATGGTCTCTTACCACCTGCAACAGCATGGATAATTCTCATTGATTTGCTGTGGCGCCAAGGAAGCAAGACACAAAATACTACATATAATATTATTCCAATTAAATAAAGTTCAAAAACTGGCAAATCTAATTTATCACAGTGTAAGTCAGGGGAATCATTACATTTGGGCATTAGGAAGGCATGGTTCTTGCAAGAGGTGTCTTTAGAGGTGCTAGTTACATTTTCTTTCTTGACTTTGATAGGAAGGGGAGTTAAAAGGTGTATTATTTATTGATAACACATCAAGCTCATCCACTTATGATTGATGTATTTTTTTTAACTTTGTTTTTGTACAGACAAGATCTCACTGTGTTACCCTGGCTAGTCTTAAACTTCTGGCCTCAAGCAATCCTCCTGCCTCAGCCTTCCAAAGTGCTGAAATCACAGGTATGAGCCACTGGGCTTGACCAGAATGGTACATTATATGAGTATATGTTATACTTCAATGAAATGGCATTTTTTTAATGCATGCTAAATTGAGTACCCAGGATTTGGAAATAAATAAAATCTCCTGTAAGTTAGTAAGAAAAAGGCAAAAAAACAAAACAAAAATCAAAACAAAATCAAACCAGGAAAAGAAATATGCCAAAATATGTGAGTAAGCAGTTCAGAAGAAGATTAAAAAATGGACAATACATCTTTGCAATTCCAAATTGTGTGCTATAAACATTCTTGTGCAGGTGTCCTTTTTATAAAATGACCTTGTTTCCTTTGCGATTGCCAGGCCAAATGGTAGGTCTACGGTAAGTTCTTTAAGGTATCTCCATATGATTTTCCACAAAGACATGTAAACAACCCAAGAGCCCACAACACATAACTGGATTAATAAAATGTGGTACAGGCATCCTGTAGCATATTACTCCACCATAAAGAAAAAGGGAGAGCTAGAATCTTTTGTGACAGCCTGGATAGAGAAGAAATGTCAATCAACTTGCCAGCAGTTTATAAAACCTTTCATGAAATAGGAAATTTCCTAGAGAACAAAACCTTGCCAAAACTTGCTTAAGAGAAAATAAAAAATTTGCATAATTCTATCATTATGAAAGACATTAAATTAATAGATGAAAGCATTCTCATAAAGGAAATTCATGATCTAGATGGTTCTGCCTACAAGTGCTAATCAGTGGTTAGGGAAAACTAATTCCAATATCAAATAACTAGCCTGTGTTTCTTCATGCCAAGGATCATGACTTCCATATCAGCAGATGGCAAAGTACCCCAGAAAAGAGAACATTTGAAGGTGAAAATACAAGGTGCAGAAAGATGAATGCAAGATGCTCTGTTTGCATAAAAATGGCACCCACATATTGGGGAAGGAAAGATGGGCTTGCAGTAAATATAAAACAGGAACAGGAAAAGGTTTCCCAGAGATGGCATAATACTTTCTGATTATTAAACCATATGCATGTTGTACCCATTCAAACAAACAAACAAATTAATTAATTAATGTTAGAGGGAAAAAAAGGGGAAGGACAGCCTATAACACAAGGATAACTAGAGGGAGGTGGTAGATCCAAATAAGACAATATTACAGAGCCATAATAATCACATATTTTAAAAAAATAATTAGCAGGGTAAAATTTATCAATAGATCCTAGCTAACAAATCTATTTGCATTTTTGGCACCCAAATTTCTTTACCAATTCTGCCTTAAAAATAAAGCTTAACCTAGAAAAAAGAGACAAGTGGGTCTTAAAGAAGAGGAAGAGAAATAGCGATAGAAGATTTTTTTTTTTTTTTACCTTATACCACTTTATTAAATCAAAAACACAACTCTCTGGGAAGATCAAATGACATGTAAGACTGCCATCATCTCCAACGTGTAGAATTTGTTTGTACTCCTCTGATAAATTCAGTAGACCATTTCTGGAACCGTTACACCAATACTTTTTATGAACACTTAGGTTTAAATGTATTCTGTGACAGCTGTTTCTACCCCTGCAAGAAAGAGGAAAGCCTCATAAGCTCTTACAGAATCACAAAATCAAATGATTTGGCTCATCTTCAAAGAATTTTGAAGGTGCTGGCAAACCATGAAAAATCAGAAGATGGTCTTGAGCTGAATACACAGCTGCCTTTGATGGGGCGTATGCTATCTAGCTGATCACAGGCCCCTTGAGACCTGTGTCACTCATTTAAATTTCTTCCTAGCACAGGGCCTTGGGTGGGGATTGGAATATATCCAATGCTTAACTGCTAAATCTCAGCACACATTCGTTATGAAAAGGGCCTAAAGGAGATATGTTCCTATCTGGATATGTTCCCAAAACGTTTGGTATTCCAAGAAAGATGGCAGCAGTAATATAGGGACAAACACACCTTGTGAGCCCAAGGTACCATTCAATGGGAAAAGATACATATCATGTTCCAAAAACAATTTACAAATCTGTTTTAAAACGTGTCTACTGAAAAATGTCTTGCAGCAATTATAAAAACTATATGAAATGATTCTTCTCATAGAGTTCTCTAAATTCCTTACAAATTTTCCTGAAAGAATTAATATATGCACATATATATATATGAGTTAGTTCTATTTCAAATGAGGAACTTACTCTATAACACATTGGTAGATTCCTGTGTCTTCCAATGCAAAGGGGAGAAACAAAATCCAAGTCTGGTCCTGGTGAATTCTAGACTCACTGTGTTTGGAGATTGGGATTCTGCTAGAATTTTTATACCAGGTTATATTGACTTCCCCAGATGTTAGGGGAGGGTATGTACAATTAAAAGCAAAAGGCCCGTCTACAGAAGTCGTCTCGTTCGGCATACTAATGACCTTGCATACATCTAGAGAAAGAAATGGAAAAACAAAAATAATTAACCATATAAGAAAACACTAGTTTTAACAAATGCCTCTTCAATTTTCTAGTCAATTTGAAATTTTATTTGGGGATCTCCTTAGTCCCAAAAATAGCCTGCTGATTTGAAAATACAATTCCAAGTTCTTCAAATGTATCCATAAGACACCATGAATTCAGCCTCCTCCTCATCAACCTCTTCCCCATTTGGAGTAATTTCCCTCTTTCCCATCCGTTCTAAGACCTGTAATTCTTTCATCCTCCTCCTACAGAGAAAGAAAGAGCTCTCCTGGTCCTGTTCTCTTTCTGCTCTGCTCCCCAGTTATTTTACTTTGTCTTGAGTAAAAAGTATCTCATCCCAAAATGGATTGTTAAAAAAAAAAAAACTGACTGAACTTTTCAAATTCATTTGTACCAAATTAATATTTTTTATTAGAAAGTTGTGCTGTTGATGGTTTCTTTGGTTCCACTACGGTCATTAAATAATCCTTGGCATAGGAAACACCTAACTCTACATTTTTGCAAATTTGTCTAACTCCTTCTCCTCTCCAAAGTCAACTCGAAGCTGAATGGTGACATGTGGGGATGAGCACCAGAGCACTTTCGAACTGAAACTTGCTGTTTCCCATTCCGCAGAATTCGGCCTGGCCACGGGGAGAGTCATTAGCCAGGTGCAGGTCTCAGGCGATCCCCGGGAGTCCGCCAGGGGGCTCCCCAGGAGGCGCCTGGAGGCCGGAGAAGGAGGGCTGTCTCTGCAACCTGAGGACACCCCCGACGTACCTGCTCTGACAAATGCTGGAAGAGCGATGGACAGCCCGCAGAGCAGCAAGGACCACACCCGCATGCTGGGCTACAGGAGGAAAGAAGAAGGTGACAGGGGAAGGCGAGGAGAGGGGGGACGCAGCGGGGAGGGGCGCCCTCCCCCCGGCCCACGGCTCGCGTCGGGATCGCTGAGGCGTCTGCCCAGACGATCCCCACCGGGAGTAATGCCCCTCTTTCCCTTCTCTTCTAAGACCTGTAATCCGTTCTTCCTCCTGCTATAGAGAAAACAGCTCTCCGGGTCTTGGTCTCTTTCTACTCTGCTCCTCAGTTATTTTACTTTGTCTTAACAAAAATAAAAGATGACTGTCCCTTCTTCAAAGGGGGCCCTCCATCTTGGTCCCCGCGTCTCCCCAGACACTATCTCTGCGCCTGTCTCGGTCTCACTCCGGGCGGCGACCCTCTGGATCGAGGGCGGGGAGCGCAGACCCGCCGCGGAGGAGCGTGGGCGCGGAGGTTTGGGAGGCGGCGGCGGCGACCACTTGGCGTCTCCCTCTGCCACCTGGCAGCTGGGCAGGGGCGACGTCTGGAGCCCGCGGGAGGGTCGAGGCGCCCCCACCGCCCGGCCCCGCAGCCCCCGGTCCCCACCTGTGCGCGCGCGTCCCCTCCCCTGCGTGGCCCTGGTCTCGGGATCCACTTGGGCCCGGCGGTCGGCACAGAAACCCCAACACCGGCTCCGCGCGGAGAAGCCGGACCCGCAGGATCTGCGGGTAGACCCGGGCTCGACGCCCGGGCCGGAGTCGGAGTCGGCTCTCCCGAGTCACCCGACCGGCCCAGATCCCGCCCGGCGGTCTTGTTCGCGGGCCTCGGTGCGAGCACATTTTTGCCACCTCTTTTCCTGCACACCTTTCCTACCATCAGGGACCAACCCGTACTTGGCTCAGCCGCAGACTCCCGGCCCGGTGTCTACCTGCCTGCCGGACTGGGGCGTGCTGGATGTCGTGGAGAGAGAAAAATCTGGCGCGGACCCGAACCCGGTCACGGCATTTTCGTGCCTAGGTATTTACCCGCCGCCACCGTGGGCGGGGCAGACCTGCCTTCCGCGGTGGAGTATAGGAAGGAACGTGGCATCACACTAGGAAGTGGGTTGGAAGTCTTTTTGCCTAATTTTCTAGCCGGTCTTTCATCACCAGAAATGTCTGCTTAAATTTATTCCAAGTCGTCTCTGTAAGTGTCCCTATAAATTTATTTGATTCCAGATTCCATTTGAACAGTTATTGCATGACCAGCATTGGCCTGAATGGATCGCCCCAAAGTGGAAGCCATCCAAAATTGATTCTAAGGAATATGGCAATATTCATCTGCTGGAGTCATACTCATTAACCCCTGTAAGGCAGACATCCCATGGTGGTTCTCAACTCCTTGGCTCAATCTCAGCCAAGGATTGTTCCTACCTAAAATTTCCCAGTAAGACAATAGCAACAAGGACCTGTTGCCCTGGCCATCAGGGAACACCCCAGAATTATCCCAGAGGGCATTGAGACATAAGAAAGGGTATAATATGTAATCTCCATTTAACAGATTCCTGGAGGAGCTATTCCTAATGGTCTTTGTGAGATTAAAGACAATGAGACAAAACAACCCCCCCCCCCAATAGAGAGAGATGCAATTATTGTTTCATTAACAGCAAAAGTTCTTGAGTTAGGTCAGTGGTTAGCAGATTTTAAAAAGTACTGAGGATTCCAAAGTGCGTTTGTTTATGTAAGAGTTATGCCTGTTCATGTTACTATATGGGAAATTAAAGGAAGGATTCTAGAATATCTAATTTCTTATTTACTTTAAAGAGCAATAAAAAACCCATTATATGTTAACATAAGTGCCATGCAACTTATGAAAAATAACTGTACTTTCTAAAACAGACTTATTGAGAAAAGTGGCATTGTTCTACATATTTGCAAGTGTCTTTGATTTCTGGCTTACTAGAAGATGACTAGTTTCTCATACCCGCTTCTACATTCAAACTCTTATGATAGAATATGTCATGTAGTCTCTGAAAATGTCCATTAGATTTTTTATTTTATCTGTAAAATAAAACAGGTAGTATTTTATCTGTAAAATAAAACAATGAATAAGTAGTAAAGTTAAGAAAATATATTCTGAGATTTTCAGGTATGGGCAGAGAATACCTCGTAGTGCAGAAGGTTCTGTTTTACAGAGAACATGGAATTTTGACACAGCCAGGCACTTGGCTCCAGTTTCTGGTGGGGAGAGATCTGAGTATAAATTCTGCACTGTCAGTTTTGAAACTAGAGCACCTAACATGAAATCATTCCAGAGACCCTTCCCAAAAAAACATATTGTGCATTTACTTGGGAAGAGTTATCTGATGGAGAAAAGGAAAAACAAAATGACCTTTAAATGGTAGTTAGCACTGATTTTTCAAATGGTTAGCTAAAAAATACATTAACTGGTAACATGACCAAAATATCATGAAGAAAAAACTCTCTGAATTCTTCCAGTGAGAAATTCTGTATAGGCAATAGCTGATTTTTTTTTTCTAATAGCTGATTTTTTTTTTTTTTTGCATTTTTTGGCTAGGGCTGGGTTTGAACCCACCACCTCCAGCATATGGGGCCAGCGCCCTACTCCTTTGAGCCACAAGTGCCTCCCTGATAGCTGATTCTTAATTTCACTGTTGTGGCTGTTGCTGCTGTTTTTGAGACAGAGTCTCACTTTGTCACCCTGGTTAGAGTGCTGTAGCATCATAGCTCACAGCAACCTCAAACTCTTGACTCAAGTGATCCTCCTGCCTCAGCCTTCCAAGTAGCTGGGACTACAGGCGCCCACTACAACATCTAGCTAATTTTTTTTCTTCTTTTTTTAGTTGAGACAAGGTCTCACTCTTGCTCAGGCTGGTCTTGAACTCCCAAACTCAAGGGATCCTCCCACTTTGGCCTTCCAGACTGCTAGGATTATAGGCTTGAGCCACTGCATCCAGCCAGATTTTTAAATTTTTATAAACTCTTGCATTTTAAAATTTTACTGAGGAATTTAAATCCCTCAGGAATATATTAAACAAATCTCTTTCTTTAGGCCACAACACACCCTTTCATGTTGAGGGTTGGCAGAGGGTCCAGCAGCATGGAAAACTTCATTTACATTGTACTTTGCTCTTATTTTTAGGATCCCTCATGTCAGTGGCCACTTCTAGTTCACAACCCCTTTCTGCCCATTCTATTCACACATTCTAATGGGACTTGAGATAACCAAGTAAGTTCATTCATACAATTGCTACTAACAAAGCTACTATTTTATCAGGCCCAGATGTATGTTAGGCACCATGCTTATAATATAAATAGATATTTATATATGTATTAGTTTGATATAATTAATTGATAAAATAGATTACCATATTAATCTATTCAACCCTTAAGCAACTCTATGAGTTGGGTATTATACCCATTTTATAGGTAAGGACATTCTTATGTATGGGGCTTACGTAGTTTATCTAAGGTTTTGCACCAGGTAGACGGTGGAAGCAACATTTACAGCAGACTTTCTCAGGCCCTAACCCCTAACCCCATCTGCCACATTTCCCTTCTTCCCAGGGACTGGTAGAGCCATCGGCCCCTTAGAATTGCTATGAGGTAAGAACCAGGAGGCAATGACTGGGTGGAAAGGGCTCTCTGACCGTTAAGAGTCTGAGCTATAGAGCATGCATTTTGCCTACTTTCTGTGTTAAAAGAGAAAATAAATGGAAGCCTTCAGAAAAATGTCTAAGTCTATGCAAATATTGCCATTATCATTTTTTGGAGATGTAAATGATAATAAGTTAATAAACAATAACATGACACATTTTAATCCATTTTAGAAGATAGCAAACAGATGAAGTCCACTTGCGGCTACTGATAGGAGTCTAAGTTCATTGTTGAATAGTGGCCTGGACCTCCACTCCCCTCCTCCCCACTCCTACAAAGTACTCCGTGCAGCATGCGTTCTTATCTCCTCAGGCCTCAGAATGTGGCCAGAGAGGGCAAAGAAAAAGATTTTCAATAATAACACTCAATGTGCTCAATGTTTGACAGTTTTATTGGAAAACAAGTACAGTCTATTGATCAATGACATATGCTGTACATGAATCTGATGTTTTAATATATAAAAAATAGTTAGCATCTGCTGTAGAATTACACAAACAAGTTTTAAAAAACCCTTCATCATTAACCAGTACAAACATAATTTATCAAAAATGTCATTTAAAAATGGCTCAATACCTTTTCTTTTATTGCAAATAAAAAGAAAGGCAGGAGGGAGAAATATAAATTCTTCTAAACCAGTTTTAACAACTGGTAATTAAATACTTTATTGCATTTGCAAACTCTTCTTCAACACTCAGATCATAAACAAAACGCAATCAGAAAGTGCAATAAACTGTTATCAATGGGGAAGGCATTTAAAAAGGGGGTTTGGGGGGGGAGGGAAGACAGTAAGTTAAATTTCATAGGAATCTAGGAATGTAGCTTCCCCCCTGCCCCACACTCCCCCAATACTCCCACTCCAGCCCTTGGACAATGAGAATGACATCTGGGAATGACATCACACTCTTCTGTTTGAAATGCCCCTTAGCCCTGGTTTATTCTTGGTTGTCAAGGCCCTCCCCACTTGCTGGCCACTTTTGTTGCTAATTAAAATTTCCGAATTGGCTTGCTTTCTTGGCACCGTGCACACAGATACGTTTTCTAGATGACAGACTCAGATCATCAACAAAATTAAATATTTAATTCTAATAGACGTTTGAGGATGTGACACCCCCCACCCACCCACCCACACATTGCTGTGGACTTCTGGCCATCCTCTGTGTGTGGTGCCAAGTGAAAGCAAGGGAAACGTAGGCACTGTCTTTCAGAACGGCAGCTGTAAAACAGCGCCGTCCCTCAACGTCAGGTCAGCTCAGGAAAAAGCAGGTGGAAAGGGATGAGTCCGAGGATTAACTAAACCCTGTGTTTGAGTCTCTTTCCGACTACTCCAGGGGGGAAATATTATTCCAAATAAAAATTGTGTTTACCCATAACATTCCATACTAAAAACATAAAAATATAAAGACTGGGAGGGCTGCCCATGATCACACAACTTTTCGAACTGTTCACGTGAAGTGGCACCTAAATTTGGTTTTGTGGTTTTCCAGAGTTTCTCTAATTATGCTGCAGACTCTGATCAAATTTTTGAAAAATATTTTTTCTATACCAAAAAAACTCTGCAATGCTTTTTCATTTTTAGTTGTCCAAGAAAATACTTAACTGTAAGGAAAGGATATGTGAAAGTAGAAAAGTTTTCATAGAATTGAAACATAATTTTTGTAAATTCCAATACTGAGAAGCTTAGAATTCTCTTTCCTAAACAGAAGCATTCTTAGATTCAGTTGCCTCCTGAAAAATTATCATTTCTTCTCACAAGAGTGGCAGGGGAGAAGGGAGGGGGAAAGTTGTTGACCTGAAATCAGGTCTGCGGAGCAATGAACTAGAAGCCAGAAAGGTTCAAGTTCTAGGTCCAACAGAGTGTGATCTTTTAAAAAAAATAAATCACATCCTCACTACAAAAAATTAGAAAAATTGCAAAATTAAATAATATAATCTGAGAACATTTTTAAACAATAAAGCAATATACAAATCCATGTCATATGTGCAAATTACTCATGGGAGGTGGGGAGGGGCAGGGAAATGCAACCACAGCCTTCCCCCACCCCCACCCCCACCCCCCACCCGCCGAACTCTAGTCAGGACAGAACCACTCTCCACCAGAGTGATAATCAGCAGTCAAGTGCCATCTGCCCGCAGGGGAAAGAGAGGGTTTGTTTGAGAGTAAGCTTTTAGGCAAAGTCTCTAGGGGATGATGGACTTGGGGTCAGTAAATTCTGGTCAGCTGGAGAAAATTCAAGAAAGCATTCTAGTTAGAGGGGCAGAGCACAGATGGAAGAGCCTGGTCAGGCACCCAGCCCACAGGGCTGACCCAGGAGTTCATGTAGAAGGACCATGGGGGAAAGTTAAGGAGAGCCGGGGCTTCAGTTTCTTAAGTGGAGAATGCCCTGGGGAGCGTTCCATCAGGAGCAGGCTGAGAGGAGAGCAGCTCTTAGGAAGGATGGGTCATCTATGGGCTGAGCACAGGACAGAGCCCAGGGAGGAAGCCACTGGGAAGCTGTCCTTCCAAAAAAGCAACGAGCCCAAGACAGCGCAGAAGAATAAGAAAGGACTAGATGGCCATGCCAGACAGAAGAGCATTCAGAGGTGATCAATCCCTGGTGCTGCTGCTTTTAAAAATTCTCTCTCCTGTGCAGAAAGCTAAGATGATTTCAAAACCGTGGAATCCTGAAGAATCCCTTCATTCATTGAAACAACAGTTTCCAAGATCTAGAAAATAAAATTCAATCTTTGGAAACTGCTGGCTGTGGACGTGTATGGAAAATGCAAACACATGGAAAGTTCACCAAAAATACATGAATCTTTCTCTGAGGCGTCAGTCTCACTCCTCCTGCGGCACCACCCAGGAGGGCCACTCCAAGGCCAGTGAACCTATGGAATCCCCAGAGCGGGCCACAGCCCTGCCCCTGAGCTGTGGGTGACTTAATAATAACACCTATAAATGGTGACCATTGCCCCAAGTTTGCTATCTCTGGGCCTCTCCTCAGCACTTCAAACATTCAGAGAGGGCATTTGTTGCCTTTCTTAATGGTCTTCCCAAGCCCTCTCCTCTGAAGTACCCTGGCCTGCTATTGTCACCATGTCCTGCTCCTTAACGGTCCTATTCCAGGTGACCTCAAGGATAACAGACTATACAGGTACATTTTATGACTGTACAAGTCAGCTGGAGGCACAGCCCAGCCTGCAATGCCCTAAGACAGGAGGCACCCAAAGAGCTCTCAGCTGGCTGCTCTGTGCTACCCAAGAGGCAAGTGGGCCTCTCTCTGCAGCCTCTCCTTAGAGTCTGGCCTGGTGGCCAGGGACAGTAACTGGTGTTTGGCTGAAGAAGGCCGTCGCTGGTCGGGCATGTGGTACCTGACACTCTTCCAGAACCTTGTCTTTACAGACTGTGGTCCTTCTGCGTAGTCCCCTGACCAGCGGATGGCCCCATGCTTCCGCTTAATGAATTGGATGGATTCTGGCATCTTCTCATAGTCTTGGATTTTCTCCAGCTCAAGCAGGACAACTTTCATTCCATCCTGAATAAGAGCATTATACATCGCTATTTGCTCTTCGGATGAACTGCCCAGCCAGCCAAAGCTTGACATTTCTCTAACTAAAATAATAATCAGTCTTCTGCATTTCTTTATGTTTTCATTAATAACCTCCACAATGTCTGAAAAAAATGAAGCAAAGCATAATATGTAAAATTTCAATTTATAATCATTCTCTCCACAACCCAAACCTCCCAAGGTTCTTTCCAATCCATCCCCTAACGCTTCTTTCTTGGTTCATTTAAGATTAAAAGAGTTTCTCAGTTTATGGACCAACTCAAAAGTTGGCCCTCAAAAGCTAAAAATTTCAATTAGAACTCAGAAAACATCCAGTAGGGATTTTACAAACTTCTTGTTAAAACATTTAATCTACCACCACGCCTATTTTATGGCATCAGTGGTAAAGTACTAACTAGCTATTAAGTTTTCCAAAACTAAAACTCAATTATTTCTCCAACAAAATATGAGAGAAGTGAATACTTTGTATTTAATAAATGTGAAAATCCTCACACACCACTGGAAGAGGTTCTTCAGTTGTCAAATATGTGTCCCTATGCCCTAACCATCTAGAAAGATGAAACCCAAATGTTAGCGGCTGGTTTTACAACAACGAGCCTTTCCTTTGTTTTATCAAATCCGTACCTTCCCCAACATAGTCATCTCTTCCATAAATGAACAGCTTATATCCACACTGTTTTTCCAAGACCTCAGGCAAGACTTTAAACACGAAAATATCTGAGTAGGAGGTGGACCCTTCCCCAAGGGTCTTTGGATACAGTATATAGGCATCATAGGTCTTCCCATCTGAAGCTAAAGGAAAAATATAATGCATTCAGGACCAAAAGGAAAAAGAAGAGATTTGATAGTCAGTATCACAAACACGCATTTCATAATGAATTATTAATCTTTTTTATTGTATGGCAGCATGATTGAAGTGTAATACCAAAGGATTCCGCCTTTTTAAAGTGTTCTTCTCTTACAAGGTTTCCATAGATCATGTTTTACCACAACGCTGTTCTGACATTGTACGGGATGCCTGCCTCTCACCCTCTGAGGATGGAATGATCCTTATCAAACCTCTTCTCATTCTCTTTCCCAAATGTCTCATCATCCCTGAGCGCTATCCATTCTTCCTTATATATATCCTTATGGCATTAATTTTTTACCAAGTTAAAGCAAAAGAGAGTCAGCCTCTCTGATGCAGGAAAATCTAGCATTTCTTTCTTTTCATTCTACTCCAAACCAAGTCCCCAACAATGGCTTCTGAATAACTGAATGTATAAACAGATGCTCTAACTCTGTGCTTATCCTACCAGGTTAAATGCTAAAGAAAAATTTAGTAGACAATGATATTAGCCTAGCCAGTTATAAAATGAAAATTATATGTAAGAATAGCTACTGTTCTTATATATGCCACCTTTCATTTAAGTGAAAATCCTTAATCATCTTCTACATCTCCTATCTCCTCCCCCCAATAAGAAAATATTGCATAGAATAAAAAATTATACCTTTTGGGGGGAGAAAAATATAGCAGGAATCCCTGTACCAAAGTACAATGTCAATCTTGAAGATTTTATAGATGAAAACAGAGCATGTAATAATAACTGTCAACAGGACAAATACACCAATCACATGATTCTTGAAATCAGGGACTATAGCAGAAAGAGGGGAAAAACATTAGAAACAAAAAGAATTAAATATTTAAGCATAGAAAACCGAACATCTTCCTCCCAGAAAGATCATACTTAGAATTGGCCTACAATCAGACAGCATTAATTCATTCATTGTTCTCACTTAACAATGGATACTAATGTACAAAGCAATCTAACATGGACTGTATAAAATTAAATACATTATATTAAGTTTCCAGCTAAATAGCATAATATATAATAACACAGAAAAAAATACTGACGACCATAGGATAGAGCATTCCACAGTAAAACAAAGCAAAGTCGAAAATCACTCAAAAACCCACAGAAGCTCCCTGAGGGTAGGAGAGCTGTTTAGTAAAAGCCAAAACTGGGGTAAAGGAAAAAGAGGGGTGGATTTAGGGGAAGTTTCACATTCCCACATTTTCCTGGACTCTCTCTAATTATTCATCCAATGATTACACAGGAGTTGGGGTAGGGGGGGAAATAGAAATTATACAAATTTCTAAATTATGGAAAGTATATATATATATATATATACTCTATATGTGTATATAAATATTTATATACATAGCAAGATCACTCTAGCAAATGTGCTAAACTCACTAATTCTAATAGTTTGTAGGCTCTTTTAGATATTTCTCTCTGTGCACACTTATAGCACCCTATTTTTATTTTATTATTCTTATTATTATTTTAGTGCTGAATCCTCAACTAAAACTTTATTTCCTGGTGCTGAATAGAACATGTAAACATCCATATTAAAAAACAGTCATCATATTAGGCAAATTCAAATCTGTCAATCCAGTTTTTCATCCAGAACCAAGCCAGTTAGAGTTACTCAGGAACTACATGGTTATCAAGTGAACTGATTTCCTTTCTTGGTAATTCTCTGTGGAACAGATGAGAAATAAGGTGCCAAAGAATCTGATTGGCCAATTGAAGTGAGATGACTCCTATTCAGTGACTAACTTGGGTTAGGAAGAAAATTAGGTCTTTTCTCAAAATGTTCACTGGTACTTTAGCGCCCTATTTTTAATTAAACCCACAAATTACCTTAAAATATTTCACAAATGTTTCGATATTGTATTTGATTATTCCAACAGATAAAAACATTGGATACCTAGGTTTTCCCTACATATGGATCATGTGATGACTCAAAATACTCAAAAATATTCAGACTTTAAGTTGCTACTAGCTCTAGATAGAATAATTAGTGAGATAAATGGTCAGCATCACTACAGAATTGATAATCAAGTAAAGAAAACTAAGTACAGCAGATCCTTCGAGTGGGCTTACGGTGCTGTGGAAACACAAAACAGAGCACCCAACCTCACCTGTTTGGACAGACAGCTGAGTTAAGGGCAAGCAGGACAGAAAAGCTTCCTCGATTAAGAAAAGAGAGTTTCTTAAAAGAGAGCTAAAGAGTGAAAGAGGCACAGAAGTTACGCAGGTGAAGAACTGAAGAGTGTCCCAGGCAGAAGAAATAGCATTGCAAACCTCAAGGTCATGGAATCTTACTACAGTAAAACAAAACTGCATTTCAAACAGTTGTTTACCTGGACGTATTAACTGGATATATGCTACATTTAGATCATTTGCACCCCTGGCTAAACAGATAAACGGATGAAGATAAAATCTACTTTCGACTTCTGAAATATTCAGCACAGTGATGAGTGTACTCCGTCTTCTGTCTGAAGGATTTTCTGCACTGTTCAGAAAAGAGAGAGTAAACAAAGTTGTGTAAGTGAATCATGTCGACTACAAATAAGACATGTATGGCTGGTCTATTTCCTCCTTATGTTCCTTGCAACATAAATCGTACCTGAAATAATCACCCACCTCCATCACAAGCCTAACGATCAGACTGCTGGCAACATTGATCTGAGATTTTATAGTCCTAAAATCATTGTTAGTAGCAGACTCAGTAGCACAGAAATAAAATTCAAATTACTAGCTTCCAAGTAGAAAAATCAGGATATAGGCATTCCAGTCTAACTGGGGTCCAGGGAAGAATATATTAAAGAGTCAACTGGGGCAGATGACAAAGGGCTTTGCAGGTCATGGGAAGGAAAAGTCATGGGAGCCAGTAGCTCCTCAGTCTACTGCTGAGTGACAGGAAGCCACTTTGAGCTGTAGAGTTCTGATTCTGGACCCCATTTAACCGGTCTTTCCTATATTAAGAAACTTGAAGAGTAATTAAAGATAAGTACTTCATTGGAATGTTGTAACATGTATAACTGAATTTACTAGAAAGTCTTCTAAATAGTAGGGAATTTGCACCACAAAGACATGTATTTTCTTTTTGCATTAAATATATAAGAGCTTATAAATCCTGCTTAGCTTAGCAAAACTCAACATGGTCATCAAAGGGTTAGGACAACTCAACTGCCAGCTATTGGATTAAATGAACCATCTATTAACCCTTGCTATTAGATTAAACCATTGAGGTTATGGAAAATATGACATGGAATTTAATATCTAAGTGTGAATCGCTCCTAGCATACATACATATGATACTCTTCCTCCAGCACTGAGACATCTTCTGCTTCAGACCCATTCCACTTCCAGAACACGAAGGTGTTGGGATGGGCAGTCACATTGCAGATCAGCTGCATCTGGGATCCTACAGAACAATTTATTTTTAATCATAAGATTCACTGACTTTTATTCTGATCTATCTAAATATCTAGATTAATAAGTGGCTATTAAATTAAAACATGATAGAAAACACAAAGAAAATTATTCTTAAACTCACCACCCAGAAATAACCACTGCAGGTAACTTTAGCTCATTCTTTGTCTTCTCTGTGAGTATACACAATTTTTAAAATAGGGTCTTATGGCCTACTATTTTTTTAATGACAATGGATTCCCAATATCAATCCACATGACTAGCCTTCCAGGTAGGTGTTGTCTTGACTGCTCAGTATTTCCTAAGTACAGGTATTCTATCATTAACTATTTCCTTCTTTTAAGAAGAGCCAGTTATGCCTACCATCTATCATATACCTGCATTCTCGTATGAACCTTACTGATGTGCAGGGCAGGAGCTCTTTATTCATCAAAGGGGGTATTAACTCTTCTTTTTTTTTAGTAGAGACAGAGTCTCACTTTATTGCCCTCAGTAGAGTGCCGTAGCGTCACAGCTCACAGCAACCTCCAACTCCTGGGCTTAGGCAATTCTCTTGCCTCAGCCACAACGCCCAGCTATTTTTTTGTTGCAGTTTGGCCAGGGCCGGGTTTGATCCACCACCCTCGGTATCTGGGGCCGGCGCCCTACTCACTGAGCCACAGGCACTGCCTGATAGTAACTCTTTATCATCCATGAAGAACATTCAGTTACTTGCTTTTTGTTTTATTTTTAATGAAAACTCACTGATGTAGTTTTTTTTATTTAGTCACATTTATAAATTTTTTGGGGGGATAGAGTCTTACTATGTTGCCCTCAGTACAGTGCTGTGAGCTCACAGCAACCTCAAAGACTTGGACTTGAGCCTCAGCCTCCCAAGTAGCTGGGGCTACAGGTACCTGCCACAATACCTGGCTATTTTGTTGTTGTCATTGTTGTTTAGCAGGCCCAGGCTGGGTTTGAACTTACCAGCACAGTGCATGTGGCTGGTGCCCTAACCACTGAACTACAGGCACCAAGCCCACATTTGTAAATCTTTCATTATTTTATTTTTTTTTATTATTTTATTAGGTTTTTTTTTTTTTTTTGCAGTTTTTGGCCAGGGCTGGGTTTGAACCCATCACCTCTGGTATATGGGGCCAGCACCCTACTCCCTTGAGCTACAGGCACCACCCAGTTTTCATTATATTTCTATTCAAAGCCCAGTCTATCATTAAATCAGGAAAATATCCATGTACAGTTTCTTTTAGGTATATAATAATCTCATTGTTTTATTGTTTTGATTGTATTTGTTCTTTTTTTTTTTTAAGGCTCCCTCACTAACGTATGTTTTCATAAAGCAATGATTTTCAACAGGTGTGCCCATTAGAGGATGTGAGGTAGGCCTCGAAAATGTTAAAGATCATTAATTAAATCATTTTTAAAGGAAATTCAAAGCACAATTAGTACTTTTTAAGTCTTTGTTTATCAACATAAGTATGCTGGACGAGTTGCAAGTTTAACTATAGGTTCAAGTGTGCCAGGAGATAAAAATAGTGGGAAAAACACTGGTCTATAGTATGAGGGAGAACATCAACTTAATATTTCTATAGAAATAGTTGATAGAAAACTCTAGAACCACTAATTGATAATAATTTTCCTCCTCACTCATTTGTAATGCTGTCATTATCATAAAATAAATTCTCACTTATTTTGGACTTTCTCCATTAATTTATATATAGATACTGATACCAAGAACACTATGCTCTTTTAATTAGTGAATTTTTAGAGTAAACACTAATATTATTCAAAGCTCATCTTACCAATATTATCTTAATATACCTCATCATCTTATACTCCCAAGTAAATTTTAGAATTACTTGCCAATTTTTAAGTTCATTCATATTTTTATTATTACAGAATCCTGTAAGTGTATGAATTAATTTTGAGAGTTGATCTCTTTATAATTTCTAGTTTTTCATATAGAAAAAACACACAGATCTATATTACAGAGGTTTTTTTGTTTGTTTTGCAGTTTTTGGCTGGGGCTGGGTTTGAACCCACCACCTCCCGGTATATAGGGCCGGCACCCTACGCTTTTGTGCCACAGGCACCACTCTATATTACAGTTTTTAATTAGCATTTTAAAAGATTTTTTTCATTATTACTCCTTTTGAAGGCTTTTTTTTTTTTTTTTGCAGTTTTTGGCCGGGGCTGGGTTTGAGGAGCATATGGGGCCTGCACCCTACTCCTTTGAGCCACAAGGCGCCACCCTTTTTGGAGGCTTTTTAGACATTTTTTTTTTCCTAATTGCCTTCTTCCCCATAAATTTTTAATATGTCAGATATACAATGTATTTGTTGATGTAGATTCTTTCACACACACCTCGCCCCAAGAATCTAGTTTCTTCTTATTGGAGACAATACTGCCCACCCCCACCCCAAGAATGCACGCTCTACATCCAGTGTTTCTGAGATTCACATTTCAAGATTTTGGTTTGGGGAGACTTTTCCTCTCTTATAAATTCCACATATTTATAAGAGATATTTGATAGACATTTTGGAGACACTGTCTGAAATGATTAGCTCTTTTCCCATTATACTTTCTTGTTGGTTATTGCTAAACAAATCTAATATTTTAGAATATCAATTTTATATCTCATTAATAAATATTAGATTTCTTTTCCCCAGTAATTTACTTAGAATTTGTAGGTAGGTAATTATATGACCTGAAAATAATAACAAAAATGTCTTTTCTCCCTCGTAGTAATCACACTTTGTTTTTTTTTTTTCCTTTGGTGGCCTTAGTGGGCACTTTCACACCGCGTTAAATAATACTGGTTTTATAGGGATCTTTGTCTTGCTCTTGACTTCAAGGAGTAGGTCCTCGGCTCTCAAGAATGTTGGCAGAGGTGCCCTCAACGCGCCTGTGCAGTGCACTCCAGGGGGCGGTCCTAAGACCGGTTGCGGTTCCGGTTCCATCTCAGAGACACGTGAAGGTCGTTGAGTTGGTGTGGAGTTCCCCTCGGCAGGCGTGGATGCTCAGGGATGGATTCCTCTTCATCTTCATCCGCAGCGGGTTTGGACGCCGTGGACCCTCAGTTGCAGCATTTCATTGAGGTGGAGACCCAGAAGCAGCGCTTCCAGCAGCTGGTGCACCAGATGACCGGACTTTGTTGGGAGAAGTGCATGGACAAGCCTGGGCCAAAGTTGGACGGTCGCGCTGAGGCCTGTTTTGTGAATTGCGTTGAGCGCTTCATTGATACGAGCCAATTCATCTTGAATCGACTGGAGCAGACCCAGAAATCCAAGCCATTCTTCTCACAAAGCCTTTCTGACTGATCTCAGCATTACCTCTTTGGAAAAGGAAGGTAGTTCAAGAAATGAAGAGCTATGGATGGGATGATGGAAGAAACAGCTGTGGAGAGATTGGCTCCCACCTTTTGTCACTCTTGGGACACCATATCATCTGAGAATGAACAAAGACCAGATTTTGTGTGTGGAGGGGACTTGAGGCTTAGACGTGTATTTGGTTGTGTTTTTTAATGCTAATCTTGGGAAAACTATTATATGTGTGTTACTGTGTGGGGGACTCTGCTTTTTTCAAAGTCCCATTAACTGCTTCCTGTAATTTTGATAGTGGGACTGCTTTCTATAATTTGGTAGTGGGACCACGTAGGTAAAATCTCTCATTTGTGTGGATTCATTTCAGATTTCTGGGGCGATCATTGCGTCTTTCAGAATGGATGGCATTTGGAGAAGGATCACTTGACAGTTAATTGTGGGCCTCCTTATCCAGTGTTTGCCATTGTTGGGGAAAAAAAGATCTATGAAGTATTCATACGGTACACTTCAGCTTTCTAGATTATTTCCCACCCTATACTATGATTTATAGTAAACTACGGTTTCAAAGTTATTATAGGGTAGGATGTTATGTGCTTTTGATCTACTGGCATTGTGATATACTATTAACACTATTATTTCTTAATATACAGGGGGGCCATAAAGTTCATGTACAATTTAAAATAGTATACAATTTAAAACTGCACACAAACTGTATGCCCCCACCCCGTATATTGTTATTACGAAATATTTTACTGGAGGTCCATGCAACCTAGGCTTCAGAACTCTCAGTTATACACGTCCAGAACGAACATTTCCAACAGGGCTGTGACCAATAGGCAAAACGGTTCTTAGTAAGAGACAAGAAAATCTTAGATACTATAATGGTCATGCTCCAAAGGACCATAGCCTCTCAACAGAGGTACAATATACCATGATACTGGAATTCTTAGACGGGAAAAGGATTAGGGGGAAATGTCTTTAGGCTCTGAAGGGGAACAATTTCAAGAAAAAAAGGTTAAGCCGTGCTCTAGGTACTATTGACCCATATTTAATTTTGAGTTTGGACGTCTTTGGTTATATCTAAGGATATCTTTATATTACCTTTCACCACAAATAAATAACAAGTGCAGTACCAGCCAAGTACAGAATTCATAGGTCATAAATGTGCACCTTCTTTTTTGGTTTTGCCGACATAGAGTGTCACTCTGTCACCCTGAGTAAAGTGCCCGGCATCACCTAATCTCTGTGCAGCTGTTCACTGTCTTTATACAGTTAATATTAGAGAATTCCCAGGAGACCCTGATTTTTCATCATGTGATATAAGAATATGTTTTGATGTGTAGACCAGTGGTTTCCAATAGAACTTCCAGCGATGATGGAAATGTTCTATATTTGTGCTATCTACATGGTAATCAGTGGTTACATGTGACTCTTAAGCCCTTAAAATATGACTAATGTGACTGAGGAACTAAATTTAAACAAATAAATTGGCAATTTAATTTATATGTGCATAGCTACACATGGCTAATAGCTGCTACATTGGACAGTGTGAGTCTGGATGCTTATAAGGTTCTTTATTCATAAAATAAAAATGTTCACTTGGAAAAGTATTTTTCTAAAATTATCATCTTTTTGGCTTTTAGTCTTACTTTTCTGACTATAAAGTTATCTGTGGTCATAAGAAATCTATCTTGTACCAAACATATTTCTCATTCCTCGGCCTTTTGAACTTGGCTTTGGCTGGCATTTTCATGGGTTATAAGTACGCATAGGAAAGTAAAAAGGGGGAAAAATCAGGCATGGCTGGATTAATGCCAAAGAGGCAAGAATTTAAAAAATGAACATTTAAAGATAAAATCTGTGTCACTTTTCCATTAATTACAGATCTATTCAGTAAATAGCTTAGGTTATATGTAATAAAGGGACAATATGTTTTATTTTTGAGTTCAAAAAAATGATTTCATCATATCCTAATGAAGCCCACTTACCCGGTTCAACTTCTATTGTCTCATTAGCTGGACTCCAAATCACAGGCCTCAAAGTCTTATTTGCCTCTGAAAGAAAAAACATCCCCAGGGCTTATCAGCCTCTTACAGGTCAGAGCCTCAAGTGCTGACAACACTTCCCAAAATACTCTAAATGGTGTCTAGCCAGGTATTTCCTTGAGGGCTCAAAACATCTATGGCAGGGTAAGGAAGAGAAAGTTTAAAGAAGAACTGAGGCGAGGCTGCAGTGCAAGTGTGCACTGCAAAGCTGCCTCCTACTGAATGGGGTGCTATAAAAAACAAATCACATCACCAGGACCTGCATACCCAGATGAGTGCCTCTCTTAAAGCAAACCAAGAAGGTAAGTAACCGTTTCCTTGAACTGGACATCATTCTCCATATGGACGAGTCAGTGCCAGACCTGCTTATTGTCAGTAACTTTGGTAATAACCCAATAGTGAAACCTATAAGGTTATGAATGAATGCCATAATTCATTAAAATAGGCCCAAAAAAGTATCAAGGAGCCCCAGAAATTAATCTGGCTCTTACTTATCAGAAAATTGGCTGCTTACGTGTATAAATAAGGGGATTGATCTGTAGTCAACAAGAAACTAAGAAACTATAGACTTGGAACGCTCACTATTCTACTGGTCCAAAAAAAAGTCAATGTCATGAGGACAAGATGGTATCTGTTTTGTACGTTAGGCATACTCCCTAATGTGTGCCTAGTACAATTCCTTGCACACAGGAAATGCTCAATATATATATTTTTAAATTCAAGAGTGAACAAAAACCACTAAACCCACTGGGGTGGGCCTTGGAAAGAAAACAAAACATGACCTCACCCCCAGGCAGAGTATATTGTTTCTCTACAAATGGGATCAGAAAAGGAGACAGGATTTAAAATATACTTGACCCATCTTAAAAACTCCCCAATACCCAGTTTTCCCTAGAATTCTACTTGTTAATTTGGTCGCTGCATCTCAGCAAAGACAACCAGAGTTATACAATGACAAGGGCAGTTTGCTAAAAACTCAGAGTTGGATTCATAGATGCCTGTGAGGCCAAAGCAAGTAATTAAAAATCTTTATTCAATAAAATTAATATTTGCAAAAAATAAATGATAATAGATTTAGAAAAATGTACTATATATAAGGTGATCATATTCTGTGTTTGCTTGAGATTGTCTCAATTTATACCTGTGGTCACAACATAATTACTATCAGACATCACTTTATCCTGCAAAATGTCCTATACTCTTCTTATACTACTGAAAGCTTACAAAAAAGCTGATCTTTACAGAAATGTTGAGCATTCTGCCCTTTCCCACATAATTTGAAGGAATGTATTTTGGTTCATTTTGTTGTAAAACAATTTTTAATATGAACCATGGTTAATACAGAATTGAAAGACCCAAGAAAATTAACAAGAGCAATCACTGTATACGTACTAGCTACACACCTGATTTGCCCTAAGCACTGACTTACACCAGGCACTCAAGCTTAGCACACCTGATCTCTAATCTTTCCAGCAACCTTGGAAGTTATATGGTCTTATTATAGAGGAGAAAACAGGCTTAAAGAGGTTAAACAACAGTTACCATTGAATGATTCTGGGTGGATAACTTAATTCCAGAGCCCATTAGCATCCAGGTCAATCATACCCATAATCCCCTATCACTAGACACTCAGACTCCCAGTGCTCTGAGAACATTCCCATACACCAACCAGAGGGAGCCCAGAGCTCTCTGGAAGAACCATGAGCCATGTCAAAGAACAGCCCTCCTAGATTAGCTGGAAAATATAGCTCATAATGTCTGTTTAATTAGCACTATGTCTAAAGCAAGAATGGAAAATATTACATAAAACTGGTATATATTAATAGTAACCAAAAACCTCAACTAAAGCCACATGACCTTTGTGGAATCATTGATCTTGTTTTGGATTTAATTTCTCCCATAAACAATGAAAGTAATATTAGATCATGGTCTCTGTCCCTTCCCAGAACTAAACTTGTAGGGCTGGCGCTATCACTCACCATTTGTAGTAACAAATGCTATTACCCGGGTAACAGAATGTTGCTTTCCTAAGTATGTGTAGGATGCACGGCAAGTGTAGTTCCCCCTGTGCTCTTCAGCCACATTCTTCACGATGAGCTGATTAGTGGCTCCACCGAAGTGAGTATTGTCGAGAAGTAGAGGTTGGCAATTCTAGACAAAGGAAGAGAGAAGCACTGAAAACCAATTAATAGCTTTCCTCAATCCACCAGCAAAAGGAACTCCATTTTTTCACATTAACAAACATGTTTTTAAAAAGTGACTGGAAAGGTTCCCTGTACTTCTTTTGTCGTCAAAAGTTCATTATACTCATACAGTATTAAACTGCCATGCCTGTAAGCCTTGAGCTATGAAGGTAAGTGAAGGCAAATTTATTTTGTAAAAAAATGTTCAAGAAAAGTATGTTAATACTATAAGCTTTCTCATCAATATTGTACTTCATTTCTTCACTGATATTATTTATTTTGTACCTTTTAACCTCTACCAGATGATTCTCCATTCAAGTTCCACCAGACTAAGTAAAGGTACCAGAAGGTGCTATTCTGTGGAATGCTAGTCCACCCACCTTTAACACATGAATTGCCATGTGAGTTGTATGTAACTCACACTGGTTTGGGGCCTGGAGCCCGTGAAACATGTATGACACACATCTCTTTACCCTGGGTATCCTGGGAGCCGTATAGGCCCCAAGAAAAAAAAATTTTTCTAGTATAGCAGTCAATCTGTTAAGCCAGTGACAGAAACTACCAGGTTATTTGAGGAGCATTTAATATCCTTAACAAAACACAAAATAATATATTTTGCAATAATCTCTTAAATACCTTAAGTTTATAATCAGTCTTCTCTTTAAACTTTTCTTAATTATGTCTTGCAAAATTAAATAAAAACAACAGCAAGTAGGATTTTAGTTAAGCTCCAAATTACAATTCTTTTTAAATTTCCTATTAAAGTCTCACCATTAAAGAGGAAACAGCATGCAAAAGAAAAAGGCACTTTGCAGATTCCGTCCATTGTCCAGATAACTTTCTTACTTGTAGGAAGAGGAAAAGACAATATTGAAAATAAAATTACCTTATACCACTGTGTTTTTGGAAACTCATTATTTTCATCTTTAAAAAAGTCTAAATGAGGGCACACAAGATTTCCATCTTGTTCCAAGGGTAGCTTCTGTACGAACATAGCTTCTGCATTATAACACGTGTTAGGCTCATTCTCCACAAATTTTGGACTTATTTTAATTTTGAAGCAGGAAGATGAATCTCTAAAATAGGTAAAATACGCATCATTAAAATAATTTTCTGTTCTTAAATGCTGCAGGTGCCTAGCAGACACGTTCATAACACATTAACTGGTTCTTACCTTACTGCACAATAGTAATGTCCTGAATCCTCTACCTTGGCAGGAACAAACCAAAGTTGATTTTTGTGCTGATGAATCCTAGAGTCTTGTGATGTAGATATCGGTGTCTCACTATCATTTTTATACCAAATTATATCATCACCTTTCTTCTCATCTGGGTTCAGAGGACAGGAGCGAACATCAATTTCATTAGCAGAGGAAACTCGATTTATTGTTTCTTCACGTTCCTGGCATTCATCTTTAAAAGGGAGAAAGGGGAAGCAAATTCCATGAAAAGTTTACCAATGTTTCTTAGTTTAACATCTACTAAGTACATCAACTATTAAACACATCAATTTATATTGTATAAAAAATCTGTACAAGCTTATGATTCAGAGCATTATCTTGGGAGTCTGAAAAATCTATACTCAAGTCCAGCTATGTCACTTGTGCTATGTCCTTAGCAAGGGCTATGCCCTGTGTGCTACGCCCTTGGCAAGTCATTTAACCTCTCTCATCCCCTCTTTATTCTTTCTCTCTCTCTTTTTGCGGCTCTAACCCACAAACTCTTGGTCTACCCAGATTTTCAGTGCCATCTCCTCAACTCAGAGGGCTTTGCCTATTTTTCATTTTTGCAGTGTCATGACCTGAAGTAATTTTAGACAATCAGAAGGCTTACTTCCGTTGTTTCCCATCTTTCTGTGATTTCTGCTCTTTGTTTCCTGGTATTTTCTGAATGATTAAACATGCTAAGTAAAGACATGAAAGAGATTTATTTTAAAAAATAAAACTTCTAGAAGAGAAAAACTATAATTTTGAGTTTAAAAAATATCATAGATGGGATTCATGGCAGCTTTGACATTGAAGAGAAAATGATTAGTGAACTTGAAGACATAGCATTAGAAACCATCCAAAATTAAGCATAGAAAGAAAAATAACAGAGCAGGACAGGGCACTGGTTAGGTTAGGAAGAGAAATGGGGATGTGCCCATCAGCCCCCAAATTACAAACAGCCCTAAGCAAAAGAAACATGAAGAAAATGATGGCAACACAATATAATCAAGTTGATTAAAACCAGTGATGAAGAGAAAATCTTATAATTAGCCAGAAAAAAAAAAAGACATTTAGTACAGAGGAACAAAGACAAAAATGATGTAGCCTTCTTTCCAAAAACAATACAAGCCAGAATAAGAATAATGTCCTCAAAGTGCTCAAAGAAAAAGAAAAAGTCTGCCTACAATTCTACATACAAAATATCTTTTGAAATCAAGGAAAATACTTTTTTTCAGATTTAAAAAAAATGTAAGATGTCATCATCCATAGACATGCAGTAGAATTACCATTTAATGAAGTCCTTCAGAAAGGAAAATGAAACTATACAAAGGAACAAATAGCATCAGGTATGTTAACTACATAATTATAAAAATATGCCATAGTCTTCCCTACCACTCAAAATGTGAAAATATGTTTTGATACAAAAAGTTTTAAAACATGATGAATATAGTAGCAGAATTAAGAAGTAGGAAAATAGTAAATGGTATAGATCAGAGAGGAAGTCAATGAAACAGAAGAAAATAAAGCTAGTGCACTCATGAAATCAATAAAATGAATACTCATGAAATCAATAAAATTAATAAGTCTCTAGCCAGACTAAACAGGAAAAACAAAAGAGGTGACATCATTGATTAAAGGAATTTTTAACGGGTAGTAAGGGAATATTAAGAATAACTTTATGCCAATAAATTCACAAGATAAATGAAATAGGCAAATTCTTTGAAAGACACAGACTGCTAAAGACCCACCCCCAGAAGACACAGATAGCCTGAACTAACTTATATCTATTAAAGGAATTATATTTGTAATTAAAAGCCATCCAGAAAAAAAAAAGTCAGGCCCAGATGGCTTCACTGATACATTCTATCAAGCATTTATCAAAGAAATAATACAATTTTACATAAACTTTTCCAGAAAATTGAAGAAGTGGCAATACTTCCCAACTCACTCTATGAGATGAGTATTATTCTGATACCAAATACCAAAACAAAGGCATTATAAGAAAAGAAACTCACAAACCAATCTCCACCAGGAACCTAAGTGCAAATTTTTTGTCAAATATTTTAGTAAGTACGATCCTACAATATATAAAAAAGGATAATGCGTTATGAAGTAGGATATATCCTAGGAATTCAAAATTGAATTCACATTTAAAAAATCAATCTAATTCTACATACTAAGGTACACTATATAATAATCTCAGTAGATTTCAAAAAAGCGTGTATTGATACATTTCTCATCTAAAAAGGTAGAAAAAACTCTCAGCACACTAGGAATAGAAGAGAACAACCTGAACTTGATAAAGAAAAGCTATGAAAAACCTACAGTTACACATGGTGAAATTGGCACAAGACAAGGATGCCCATTATGCTGCTATTCAATATTGTATTGGTGGGTCCGATACAGTACAACCAAAAGATGAGTCCTTTTTATAAGGCAAAAAAAAAAAAAAAGAAAGAAAGAAATGACATCCAAGCTGGAAAAAGAAGTAACATGATTTTATTTGCAGACAACACGATCATTTATGTAAAAAATTGTATGGAATCTATAAAAGACTTACAAATATTTTTAAGTTGTAAGATACAATATGAATTTTACAATATAAAATTGAATGTGTTTTGCATATACTGGCAAAGAATATTTCAAGACTGAATCTTTTAAAATAACTTTTAGAGTAGCATCAAAAGATATTAAAAATTATGGATAAATTTGATGAAGATGCACAATAGACTTATACAATAAAAATTATAAAATTTTAAATAGTTATACAAAGTATAAATCAATGGAGAAATACATGTTTTGTTCATGGATCAGAAGACCTGATATTAAGATATTAGTTCTCTCCAAACTCACTTATATTCAATTCAATCCTAATCAGAATTTTTAGTAGCAATTGACAAGCTAATTCTAAAATTTATATAGAAGCCAAGGGTAGTAGCCCACACTTGTAATCCTAGCACAATGGGAGACTGAAGTGGGAGGATCACTTGAGCTGAGGAGTTCGAGACCAGCCTAAGCAAGAGAAAGACCTCATCTCTACTAAAAATAGAAAAAACAGGCAGGCATTGTAGTCCCAGCTACTCAGGAGGCTGAGGCAGGGGAATCACTTCAGCCCAGGGTTTGAGATTGCTGTGCCCACAGCTCTAGCCTGGGGTAACAGAGACTCTGTCTCAATACATACATACATACATACATACATACATACATACAATGCATACAGAATTAGCCAAAACAACTTTGACTTTAATACAGAATAAGGTTGGAAGAGTTACACTGCCTTATTTCAAGACTTATTATAAAGCTACAGTAATTAAGACTACACAGTATTTGTATAAAAATAAATAGGTCACTGAGACACAATATAGACCCCCAGAAATAACTCATACAAATATACTCAACTTATTTTTGATGAAGGTGCAAAAATAATTCGGTAGAGAAAAGATAATCTTTTCAAAAGATTGGATATACCCATGTAAAAACAACCCCACCCCCACCTCACCACACACACAATTTGGACGCAGGATCCCCAACATGGTAGATTCAAGGGCTCCATAAATCAGTCCTCCATAAAAGCAACAAAAAGATTGGCAAAAATTTTCAAAAACAAAGGCTATAATCAAAAGAACATTTATTTAAAAAATAAACAAGAACCTGCCAAATTCACAGTAGATCAGCAAAGTTTGTGGCTTTGTAACTTAAAATATTCCATCTTCCTCTTTCTGTCTCCCCAGAAGCTATGAAAGCTAATAGTTTTATAAACACAGTATCTATGACAACCATCAGACTTGTAAGACTGACTGGATTTGAAGCTGCTCAAAAAATCCCGTTCCCACAGCACTGCCAATCTTTGACTTGACTGGCAGTTCCTCAAACTCATTCATAGGTAGCATTGTTATTGACCTAAGAGCTCCTCAGAGAAAGCCCTATCCCCAGGGTGTTTGTTGAAAAATCTCAATATTAACTATTTAACATCACAGCTGCCAGAGGCTGTGATACCAGTGCAAACAAACAAGAGCCATAACCCCTAGGGAGTTTTGAAAAGCTCTGACATATTCCTGGGGTATCCAGAAGGATTCCCATGTATGCAGGGCTGTGCACACATGCCCAGGGAAGAGCAGAGAAGGCACAAGTCTTGCACTTTTGGATGATTCTGAGGGCATACACAAGCAGGACGCAAAGGCTAGACAGACCTGTAAATAGTCTAAGTGTTGAAGACATGCCCCAACATACAGAGAGCCCCTCAGGAAAAAGTGAAAAACATTGGGTCAAGGAATTTAAAGAAATAGCTAGCCAATCATTAGCTGACCACTAAATTAACTGAGCACTGACTCAGTGACCACACAATCCAGAAAATATATGCTTTAAAAGAATTAGCCCAAGAAAGTAATTAAACAAACAAATAGAAATAGCAGTGGGAACAATAACAATAAAAAAAATAAGTAATAACAATAAACCTTTTCTGTGCATGGAAGGGAACATCTGATTTCTAAAATTGCAACATTATACTACCTAAAATGTCCAATTTCCAACAAAAACTATAAAACATGCAAATAAAAAAACCCCAGTAAAGTATGGTCCATACACAGAATAAAAAGGGAGGGGGGTGATAATAGAAACTTTCCTAGAGGGGTCCAGATTTTAGATAGATAAAACTATTTAGTTTTTTAGATTAAAACTTAAAATCAGCTATTAAAAATATTTTCAAAGAACAAAAGAAAATTATGTTTAAATGATTAAAGGAAATTATGATAACAGTGTTTCACCAAGTAAAAAAAAAAGAAAGAAAGGAAGACAAATCATCAAAAGAGAACCAAGTGGAAATTCTGGAGTAGAAAAGTCTAATACATAAAATTATGATAAAGACTCCAGAGCAGATTTGAACTATCAAAAAAAAGAACTGGTACATTTGAAAATAAGTCAACTGATTATTGGAAGATTATCCAATCTGAAAAGAAAATCAAAAAGAATACTAACCAAAACCTTGAAAACCTATGGGGCTTCATCAAGCATACCAGCATATGCATAAAGGGAATCCCAGAAGGGCCAGGAAAAATATTGGAAAAAATAGTGGTCAAATATTTCTCAAATTTGATGAAAAACATTAATCAACTCATCTGTCTTAGTCCATTTTATGTTCCCATAATAGAATACTTGAGAGTGGGTAATTTATAAAGAAAAGAGGTTTATTTAGCTCATTGTTCTACA